TCTGTGCTCAAGCAATTGGGTTCATTGAACGGAAAAGTCTCAGTTCAAACCCTCTTGAATACCGTATTTTCGACATCGTCATCATCATCGTCGTCGTCGTCATCATCATCATCATCGTCATCAAATGGTGCATTTGGTACCAATGCCACGGTCGATGCTACAAACTACTACAAAATAATTTCCAGCATGCCAAAGCCAACTTTGCGCTACGCCCTCCAAGTCCTTGGCAAGTTATCCGGTTCAACAATTGATATGAGCAAAATTTCGTCGTCTAAATTGGACCAACAGATCAATTCGTCCACTATCAAGCAATTGGGTTCATTGAGCGGAAAAGTTCCAGTTCAAACAATTTGGAACATCCTTTCTTCAAGCAAATAATTGAATAAATCCGATTGAAAAATATCGAAATTCACTGATTTGAATAAATAATATAATTTGCAATACGAAATTGTACAATGTACATTGTATGATTGCATTGTATTCAATTAAATAATAATAAAGCTTTTGCATGATATAAAACAAATGTTGTATTTTGATATCACATATTCTTGGATGGATAAAACTCACGTGTAAATCTTAAGTGATTTTTAAAAATTCATTCATTTTAGCTATTTGTATATGAAATAATACCGACGAAATATGACCATATAGATAGTGATGCGCCAGCCTATCTACAATCATAAGTTCACTGATAATAACTAAACAGATAATAAGAAAGGCCTAATACCGATTGGCAGTTTATATTCTTGACAAAAAAATGAATACAAAAAAGCCTAGCAAAAATTATTCGATGCTGTAGTGAATGTAATTTTAACATAAACCTTTCTAAATAGATAAATTCTCCTAGATTTAAAAGATATAAGAAGTTTAGGAGAACTTGCGAGCATTTCAGCTGAAAAAATGAAACTTTTTCGCAATTTAATTGTTCATACTTTGGTGGCTATATTTGAAAGGTAAAAGTTCCAAGCGGCTCTTTTTCACAAAGCGTAAATGTTTATATCAAAAATGCTTCGATTATTATCCGAGAAATAAGCAGTGATGGTTTTTTCCTATCTGAATAGCGCTAGCTATTCGCAGCGCCTGTACAGCATTGCTGCCCAGATGCTGAATCGTAGCGGTTGCCGCACGCGCAACACAATTCGTTTGTACCACACAGAGCATATAAGTTCGCGTTCGTTCTCTGTTCGACATGCGTTTGTATACTGACTATGGTATTAGTGTATCATACTCTGTGAGCTCACTGGTTACTTAGACTATGACGGCCTAAGAAGAAAACAATAACATACAGAATATTCTGCAAAAAGACGAATACAAATTTATGTGAGCAAAAACCAAATATACAAACAGACAGCGCAAAAGTAAAACAGCCTACTTACATGTGTTTCTTATGACAATATGTTGTGTGGTACAAAACGCGTGCGGCAACCGCTTCGATTCAGCATCTGGGCAGCAATCCTGTTCAGACGCTGCGTTTAGCTAGCGCTATTCAGATAGAAAAAAACCATTACTGGAAATAAGTGACTTGTTACATTGGAGCGGGAACTATATAGAAGTCAACTACTACACACGCATCACTTCAACTGGCGAGTCAGTGGAAGCATGTAAGACACAAACGACAACGTTATTTGCATAAGTAGTGGTTGCATTCTCTATAGTTGCCGTTCGAGTGTAATTGTTGTTGTTCTTTCGTGTGAAGAGAAAAGGCTGTATTAAATGATGTATTTTGGCGCTCGTTGATAAATATGTATCGGAATATTTATTAACATTGAGAAAATATTTTTTAATAAAAAATAAATTTTTGTTGAGATATACAAACTTTTGTATAGATTTAAGAAAAAATCATTTCTACCAATAACAGACATTATATTGAGATATTTTCGGCCAGATGAATCAGCTCAGCCAGATATCGTCAGGAGCTGAAATCGATTGAAAACAATAAAAGTGATTGTTATAGTGATTGAGCAATGTAAGTGTAATTATAGCCATAACAATCACTTCTATTGTTTTCACTTAATTTCAGCTCCTGACGATATCTGGATGAGCTGATTCATCTGGCTGAAAATATCTCAATATAATCTCTGACCAATAATCTATACATTATTTCCGTGTGTGTAGGAAAGGTATTTCTATGGGTGAGATCTAAAAGAACGTATGTTTTTTTTTCGCTTTAAATTTTGGAAAAGGAATGATTTTCGTTAAACAGCAAAATTCAATTATTAGATAAAAGTTAATTAAAAAGATTGTTTATCAAAATATTGTACTATTTCGATGTAACCAAAATTTGTATAAATACCAATATCTTTCTTGAATAAAACTTCACTTCAATATTCACTGCAAAACATAACACGTGTTTTGCCAATTCTGTCTTACTAACTTAAAAGGAAAGTATGTTTTGCACCAAAAAAATTTTTTAAAAGGAAAGTATGTTTTCCGGCTTAATCAGTTGCTGATAAAGGAACGCATGTTTCGCACCAAATAAATTTTGCAAAAGGAAAGTAAGTGATTCTGAATCAGTTGTTAAAAAAGGGATGCATGTTTAACGATGATTTTTCTGGAACTGGGCTTCGATGGATCCTCAGGATGGACCAGACTATGGTTTGACAATGCCCTGGCCCATCCTGAGGGTCCACTTCCAGAACTGGGAGCGGTTCTGATGATCCTGAGGATCTACCAAAGCCCACTTCCAGAACAAAGACACTAACGTTCTTTTATCCAAACCAACAAAACTCCCTTTTCCAACAACTGATTCAGCCGAAATACATACTCTCTTTTTTCAAAATTTACTTGGTGCAAAACATACATTCCTTTATTGCGACAAAGTCGAACACACTTGCGTTTTTTTAGATCTCACCAATAGATTTATTGTTAGTTTAACTATGCACCTGTGTTAATTCTAACGTGTGTTGATTCTGTGTTAAATCTAAATTTCACCAGGTTGAAGATGAATGTTTCTTTAAAAATATGTATAAATGAAATTCCAAAGAAATGTAACGAGAGTTACTCTCACATATCACACGTTATCTAGACATAAATAACAACCTAATTCCGTACTGAATATGTTAAATCACAGTACAAATCAATACCCGTAAAACACTAAAATAAGAGTTCACAAAGACCTAAGCCAAGCTCCCTGATTAAAAAAACGTCAATAAGTTAATTCTTATAATATAAATGATATGAGTCTCAGTTAAATCATTAACTATTAGACCACTAGTGAAAATAATATAAATAAATGATTTGTTAGGTAGAAACATCATTAAACCCAGCAATGATGCTTTACATTGATGCAAATAGAACGATTTCGACAGTTTGAATGATTTCCATTGAAAATTAGGCGTACCTCTCATACAAAGTTTGTGATGTTGAGCCTAAAATCGAAAGCTTTATATGTGATTTATATGAGCAAATTCTTTGGAAATTAATACACTTCACGCGCAATCTTTTGCACACGAACATTTCTTTTATGAAAGTTATGACTTGAATTGCTAAATAACATGACGTTAGATAATTGCTCATTACAAAAATAAAGTCAATTTAATTACTGCAATAATAAAAACAAGCATTCGCCATAAAGAAAATGTTATCATACTCGTTTTTGGGATTGATTATGTCAAGCCTTTTTATTCTAAACATATGTGATAATAAACGAATTTATATATCGTTAGATTAACATTAAAATTGAAGCCACTTGACAGCAATTTAAAGACAATTGTTTCCGTATTATCATCGTGACTTTGGAGTTTTCGAAAAGGACGTGAAAAATACCCGAGAGAATAAAACTTACGTCTATAATGAGTGTCATTCATCGTCGGCTAAGAGCCGTTTTCAGTAAATTATTTAAAAGGGATGTCTTTGAAGCACTCAAAGATCAACTATTAAAAGATGGTCACCTCAATACATACTCTATAAATTTACACAAAACTGTTTTTGAGTGACTCAAAATGTTGACCAATTGCACTTACACACTAGGTCACCTAGTCAAGATGTGGAAAAGCAAGTATAAGGAATTTGAAACCAGAGATGTATCCACCTCAGACATTGAAACGCTCATATTCGAAACCAAGGCGTTGTTAAATGCGATATTGATATGCACTTGATAGCAACAAAACTGTTAATGAAAAGTAATAAAATTACAAACTGCGGTGTATGCGAAAAAGCTAGTTTAGTTTGCTTTTAATTGAATTTTTTTCGGCGAATACTGCGCATCATCAGTAACCACATCGTATGGCAGTAACTACCATTTAATAGCTTTTGTGTGTTTCAAATTAAAATATTAATCTCCAGGTATAAATTGGTTTATTGCCAGTTGGTTTTTTTGTAACAAACAAATTATGGAATATTTGCTTTCTAGACACTTCGTTTACACCTTTAATTGCCGCACGCTTAGAATGACTTTTAAGAGAACCACGCATTTATAACGTGCAAGCGAATATATGAAGAGATGTAGAGCAAAGCAATCGTAAAATTAAAATGGTTACGTTTCCGCACACTTAATTTGGGATAGGTATTGTATTAGGTCATAAAATACGATCACACCAAAACATGTTGCATTTTTTGCTGGGAAGACACGATTCGGGACGCTTTTGGGCAACAATTATGTGCGTCAGTATGTAGGATGTGTTATAATCAAAAAAGATTTCAAGGAAGATATCCATGATATAGACTTTTAGACTTTTAAAAGAAAAGTTGGCTTGGGTACGTAAGCTTCTTTTTTTAAACGAACTTTATGACATAGTTTATGTTCCTTTTTCTTTCAAAATCTTTTTTGATATTACTATGGTAACCACATCATTATGAGGAAATGATCACTGAAAATCACACTTCATATCTGTGCACGTTGATTTCGTAGCAAATGACTCTAATTATTGCAGTAATTAAATCGACATTGTTCTTCCAATGATACATTTTTTTTTACTTTATCTTATTTATGGCTATGTCTAGGAGTGAAAGCGTATAAATACAGTATAGACACTGGATGAAAGTATCAGTTGAGTTGAAGAGTTTTGTTTTCAATTGTGAATTAGTTTGTTTCAATTCGCAAACAAAAGTATAAATTTATTCAATTTGAAAGTAAATGTTATACGCAAGATGAAATATCTCTGCGCTTTGTTCTTTGTGATCGGCATCGTTGGATCAGCTCCGACGGGCAATAGATGTGTGGAAAGCTGCTCGAATATTTCAGTCGATGACATTATTAATTTAATTATATCGAGAAAAATCGACGTTTTCTCCCTTTTGAGTAAAATTCAAGCTTTAGTTGGTAGCAGTACTGGTGGAACTGGAAGCAGCAACCACTATGAAATCAGCGGGTCGTTCTCACCTTTCACTTCTGTCAATGCGGCAGGCTTGGCCAAATTACTTTCAGGATTGTCAAATCCAACTTTGGCCAAGGTTGTCGATACTATAACAGATTTTACTGGCATTGAATTGGATACAAGCGAAATCTCACCGGATAACTTGAACAAACCTTTCGATCTAACACCACTTGTAAAGCAATTGTATTCAAGCAACGGACCTGTTTCCCTCCGAAGTATTTT